GACGGTACCCCCTTTCCGACGTCCCGTTCACAAGCAATTCGCGTTTGAAGATTTGACTCCACCATCAGTGAGATCGTGTCGCGGGCTACCACATTCCCTTTTACGGTACCCACTTCCGACGTCCCGTTCACCCGCAATTCGCGATTGAAGATTTGACTCCACCATCAGGAAGATCGTGTCGGGGGCTACCACATTCCCTTTGACGGTACCTCCTTCCGACGTCCCGTTCACCAGCAAATCGCGTTTGAAGATTTGACTCCACCATCAGGAAGATCGTGTCGGGGGCTACCACATTCCCTTTTGACGGTACCTCCTTCCGACGTCCCGTTCACCAGCAATTCACGTTTGAAGATTTGACTCCACCATCAGTGAGATCGTGTCGCGGGCTACCACATTCCCTTTTACGGTACCCACTTCCGACGTCCCGTTCAACCGCAATTCGCGTTTGAAGATTTGACTCCACCATCAGGAAGATCGTGTCGGGGGCTACCACATTCCCTTTGACGGTACCTCCTTCCGACGTCCCGTTCACCCGCAATTCGCGTTTGAAGATTTGACTCCACCATCAGGAAGATCGTGTCGGGGGCTACCACATTCCCTTTGACGGTACCCCTTTCCGACGTCCCGTTTACCCGCAATTCGTGTTTGAAGATTTGACTCCGCCATCAGGAAGATCGTGTCGGGGGCTACCACATTCTCTTTTACGGTACCCACTTCCGACGTCCCGTTCACTCGCAATTCACTTCTATTGGCGGCACGAGAAAGAGAGACAGCGATTCGTGATTTACGAAACGTTAAACCGCGTGAGTTCGCAACGGAAGGTAAAAGGCGCCTGACTACTTCTCGAAGACGCGCGCGCCGCCTCGCAAAAGGTCGTTAATTTCGCCCCTATGACAAAAAACAAAATTCCGCCACGCAGGAGTTGTGCGCGTTTACAACATCTTTCCGACGACACCAATTTCAAAAGAATCGGACCAAAACTGTAGTAGAAGATAGGAAAAAACTGAAAAACCTTCACGTTAGTATACTACGCTCGAGGATGACGCCCAGATGTCGCCAACCCCACATCATGTAGCCATGTCCCTAAGGTTGACAAATTTCACGGCCCTGTAGATACACGTACACCCGTTGCCTTTCTACAAGAGTTCTTCTACGCGCCCACATTTGCTGCCAGCCAGCCAGCCAGCCAGCCAGCCAGCCAAAGTGAGATTAAAAGCTACTTTTTACAAAAAAAATTTTTTGCAAAAATGCGCTAAAAAGATAGGTAATATCTTAAATTCCATCTTCAATCTTCAAAAATATAACAGGGATAATATTCAAAAAAGATTCAAAGATTTTAAAAAATTTAGAATAGTACAAGAAAATTTTAAAAATATTACCTATTACTTTTTTAGATATTTTTTGAGTCTCATGAATCAATATTGAATTTTTTTAATTTTTTAATGATATATTTTTGAAAGGAGATTTAATATGCTATATTTTTTTTATTACAATATACAATATGTTCCATTAAAAAAATAAAGTTATGTCTTATAACTTTTTAGCGCATTTTTGCAAAAAATTTTTTTTGTAAAAAGTAGCTTTTAATCTCACTTTGGCTGGCTGGCTGGCTGGCAGCAAATGTGGGCGCGTAGAAGAACTCTTGTAGAAAGGCAACGGGTGTACGTGTATCTACAGGGCCGTGAAATTTGTCAACCTTAGGGACATGGCTACATGATGTGGGGTTGGCGACATCTGGGCGTCATCCTCGAGCGTAGTATACTAACGTGAAGGTTTTTCAGTTTTTTCTATCTTCTACTACAGTTTTGGTCCGATTCTTTTGAAATTGGTGTCGTCGGAAAGATGTTGTAAACGCGCACAACTCCTGCGTGGCGGAATTTTGTTTTTTGTCATAGGGGCGAAATTAACGACCTTTTGCGAGGCGGCGCGCGCGTCTTCGAGAAGTAGTCAGGCGCCTTTTACTTACCTTCCGTTGCGAACTCACGCGGTTTAACGTTTCGTGAATCTCGAATCGCTGTCTCTCTTTCTCGTGTCGCCCATAGAAGTGAATTGCGAGTGAACGGGACGTCGGANAATGTGGTAGCCCGCGACACGATCTCACTGATGGTGGAGTCAAATCTTCAATCGCGAATTGCGTGTGAACGGGACGTCGGAAGGGGGTACCGTCAAAGGAAATGTGGTAGCCCCCGACACGATCTTCCTGATGGTGGAGTCAAATCTTCAAACGCGAATTGCGGGTGAACGGGACGTCGGAAGGGGGTACCGTAAAAGGAATGTGGTAGCCCGCGACACGATCTCACTGATGGTGGAGTCAAATCTTCAAACGCGAATTGCGGGTGAACGGGACGTCGGAAGGGGGTACCGTCAACGGGAATGTGGTAGCCCCCGACACGATCTTCCTGATGGTGGAGTCAAATCTTCAAACGCGAATTGCGGGTGAACGGGACGTCGGAAGGGGGTACCGTCAAAGGAATGTGGTAGCCCCCGACACGATCTTTCTGATGGTGGAGTCAAATCTTCAAACGCGAATTGCGGGTGAACGGGACGTCGGAAGTGGGTACCGTAAAAGGGAATGTGGTAGCCCGCGACACGATCTCACTGATGGTGGGGTCAAATCTTCAAACGCGAATTGCGGGTGAACGGGACGTCGGAAGTGGGTACCGTAAACGGGAATGTGGTAGCCCGCGACACGATCTCACTGATGGTGGAGTCAAATCTTCAATCGCGAAATGCGGGTGAACGGGACGTCGGAAGGGGGTACCGTCAAAGGAAATGTGGTAGCCCCCGACACGATCTTCCTGATGGTGGAGTCAAATCTTCAAACGCGAATTGCGGGTGAACGGGACGTCGGAAGTGGGTACCGTAAAAGGGAATGTGGTAGCCCGCGACACGATCTTCCTGATGGTGGAGTCAAATCTTTAAAAGCGAATTGCGGGTGCACGAGGAAAGTGGGAAGCGGTTAGTGAATGTAGTAGCCTTCGACAAGATCTGTTATTGATGGTTGAATCGAAAGTGGCTAATAGAATACTGATCTGCCACACAAAAATGCGCTGAAGTCCCTTCGATCTCAAACGAGGACTTTGATAATTTTTTCCTGTCCCCGTATACATATTTTGAAAACCGCACATTGTTATAAAGAAACCGAGAAAGAAATTGCTGTATAAAATATTTTTCTGTATCACATTCAACCTCGCATTCAACTAAGAAAATATGTATAGTGTCATTCTGACACTCGTTCTGACATTTGACAATTTTTTTTATTTTCCCCCTCGTTCTCCCCTGTATCTCTTCGAGCAAATATTTTCAAATTTTGATTTTACCATTTCAAGTTTGACCCAAAAACAGCACATGACGCTTATATTAGTTTTTTGATAGCACCGTTGAGTGAAGGATTTTACTCAATGATAGCACTAATATTACAGAGATCCCTATAAGTGTCGGCAAGCTATTACTACTACCACAGATTTAACTACTACTACCTACTTACATGGGATTTTATACACAAGTTGTATAAGTAGCGTGAAATTTCATAAATTTGCAAAAAGGTGTCTAGATCGAGGTCTAGATACTCTTGAAGACCTTTGAAAATTCTTTAATAAAATACTCTAAAAGTTTATACGAGAACCTTTATAGGCCCTGGAAGATATTTGAAGCCATTAACCTCTAGCTAAGGGCAACTTGAAGGTTCTTAGGGACCGAGGAGAAAACGTTTTGTAAACTGAAAGCTCTTAAAGTTTCATGAAGGCATGAAGGAGCTATTAAGTGCTTTTTTTAAATTCCAACGTCTCAGGAGACTCCAAAAAAGAGCTCTTGATGATTCTTGAGGTATTTTTTTGTGAATCATGGAAGGCTCTTAGCCTCTACAGCGCTCTTAGAGATACTTGGTAGGGTCTCAAAAATTCAAAAAAATATAAAAAATTGATATATAAAAATATTGATTTAAAAAAGATTTTTTTTTATTTCTTTGTATTTCATTGAACATTCTTTTAATTTTTTTGGATCTTGAAAAAAATTTTTTTCAACAAATTATTCAGCCGAAATTCAGCATAAAAATCTGAAACTTTGCCTTCATTGATCTTGCTTATCTCATATGGCGATCAAGATACTAATGCATCGAATTTGTAACACCCTGTACAGCTAAGCATTTCTCGTGGTCCTTCCTAAATACAATACCTTCACTTGACGTTGTCAAGATTAAGAAACTCCTTTTTTACGTAATACTTTCGTATTGAGGTTTGTACCGAACTTCCTTAATAAACGAAAATCACAATAAACTGTCATTCCCTCAAAACACGAAATTAATTTCCGATTTTAGAGAGCACTCAATACGCACCAACTGGAGCACAACAAACACAGTGATTGATAAGTTTCAGTATGTTTTGAACGAGGTTTTGAAAGAAATTAAAATTCAATGTGAATCTAATAATTCAAATTTTCAACATAAAGCTATCCTTGTCAATGTCAACCCCTCTATTGTCACTCTTATCTCAGGCTTGGCATTATCTATATTTCCTACTCGCACAGAAACACATTGTGCATCTAGTCTTTAAAAAAATGAATGAATACAACAGTCGCTATTGATTCGCACAAATAAAATAATTGCGGTAATTTATTGGTCTTTTAAACTTGTGCCCCGTCGTTGATCTAGACACAAGGTAATTGCCCTCTAAATCACGTCCCCCACACACCACAACAAATAGGATGGCAATGTCTAAGTTACTTCTGTCTATTTAAATAGTATTAGATTTAGACTTATGTATTAATACTTCTGCAGAAAGTCTACATTTTCAAGTACAATGAGTCAAGACTGCGGGAGAGAGAGAGAGAGAGAGAGAGAGAGAGAAAGAGATTAAGTAGTGCTATTTATACTTGGTCCTAATTAATCACATGGAAAGGCCGTTTGGTTTGCAGCTTCTTAGAAATTACCACAAACCTCCTTTGTGGGTTGTTTTTAAAATCGAAATGAGAGAATTACGAATAATTAAGAGAAACTTACTTACTTTAAAAGTTGTTCATTTGTGGAGGTCCTGATATTAAAATTCGCCACACACTTAACAGAAAACAAATTCGAGTCTACTCACAGTCACAGGGTGAATTTAAAGTTACTTTAATTATTGTTGGCTTGATAGTAATTAACAAAACGATTAATAAAATTAACCTTCAAATTGCTTTTGTTTAGGAACTCGAGGAATTTCGTTATTCGGCGTTTTGTGAAGCGCGAACTTTACTAGTCGATAACCAGACCGTCGAGCACGGAATTCATTCACGAAAACGACGAAAATGCACACGATTTTTAAATGAGTTTGACAGCGCACGATTCCAGCTACTTCACGCCATTGCACAGCACGTCGCTCAGTCTGTGTCAACAATTGCCAACAATAAAACAGGAATCTGTGTTTTTATTCGCGAACAGTGTTGTGTTTTCATTGGTCGATATATTTGAAATTTGGAGGGAGTAATGCATTGCACTTGATGCGTATTTATCGCACAGAGTTGTATTTTACTTATATGCTCTCTATTTACTTATATACAACTCTGTGATTTATCGTGACTTCGTAGTTCGTGAGTCATTTTACACCATTACACAGAACTGATGTGAAAACCAGTCGCAATAAATTACTACAGCGCCACTTTGCGGTAGGGAGTGTCAACAGTCACCTGTCATACTTTGTTTGAATTTGATTTTTGATTCTATTTGCCTTTTTGAAAAGAAAAAGCTATAAAACAAAAACATGTCTGGAGGTGGCTGTGCTGTATATGGATGTTATAATGCAACTGTGCGAAATTGTTCGAAATATTTCTTTAGGTTTCCTTTAAATACAGAAATGTAAGTTTTGCCACCTATTGCATATCCATATTGGAAGTTTTATACTTTTCCACAAAGTTCTAGGAAGTTTTATGTTATGTAGGGCCTAGCTTACAATATAGTGTTCATTTTAGATGCAAGCAGTGGCTGGTCAAATGTAAAAGAAGTGACCTTGATGATATTTTTAAAGCAAGAGGAGTAAAAGTCTTAAACAGGAATTATAGAGTGTGTTCTGATCATTTTGTAGAAAGTGATTTCAGAAACAGGCAATTGTTTAGTCAAGGGTAAAAGTACAGAAGTCTACACCTTTTCCACTTTTATTCGAGAAACTATAAAGTTAATTTGAGAAAGTATCAATTGTGTATCAATAGTGATTTGTATTTGAGAAGGCATCAAATGAATTTGAGAGTAGTAAATTGTATTCAAGAAATGGTAAAATGTATTTGAGAGGATATCAATTGAAAATGAGAAAAACAAAATCACATGTATAACATAGCCTGATGCTGCTGCTGCTGTTGCGGGACTACATACAGTAGCGGGAATATAAAAATTGATTTTTAATATTACATTCTGAATTCTGAAATACAAATAACGACTTCTTAAAATTAAATGATACTTTCTCAAATACAATTGACTATTCTCAAATACATTTGTTAGTTTTCTCAAATCCAACTGACTATTCTCATCTACTTTGATGTTTTCTCAAATACAAGTAACAATTCTCAAATACAATTTACAACTTCTCGAATAAAAGTGGAAAAGGTGTAGTTCTGATTGTATTTACTTACTAGTGTTTTTGTTTAAAATAGGTTGATTAAGGGTGCCATTCCCACTAATAAGTTGTATGGGGTTCAATTAGAAACGAGAAAAGGCCCTGTTCAGTGTAAGCTGCTGCAAAAAGAAACTCCTGTAGCAAAAGATGTTACAGAAGCTCCTATACCAGAACATTCTACTGAAGGAACTTTATGTCATTCTGTATCTAAGAAGAGGACACACATTTGCAAGTCACTGAATACTATTACAAAGAAGTTACGTTTCTTAGAAAAATGTAAAAGCAGATATCGTAAAACTATTGCTCATTTAAAACAGGAAGTTTTACGTCTCCAAAAAGACAACAAACAACTAAAATCCGAACTTATGAAGTTAAGATCTAATTAATTCTATAATGATACCCCTTGGTCAATGTAAAATGTAAACCAAGAGGTCGTAGATATTCAAACTTACAGAAGAATTTTGCTCTAGCACTTCATTATTGTTCATCAAAATGTTACCGATTGTTAAGGGAACATTATTCCTTACCCACTGTCAGGTCTTTAAGAAGCTGGCTTCACAATTTACATGTTTATCCAGGTTTACACAAAAATGTTTTGAACTTTGAGCTGAAAGTAAAGGCAACAGCTTTAGAAAAACAAGTTAAAAAGTAATCGTAAACGATTTACATAAAGCGCATTTCCACTTGCATTCATTTCCCATTTGTAAGATGCAACTTCTGTTAAAATCGTAAAATTCCGGCCACAAATATGAAAGATAGCGTTGCACATGGGCAATCCATTTTTGACGTGCTACTTCAATTTCAGTTTATAAGAAGAATTTCATTTCAATGCTTTTCTAAATAAGAAAGTTGGAACTGCGCATGCGCAAAACCAAATTTTGAAACTGGCGTTAGATTTTCCTTTATTCCAAGCACCTATGTATCAAATTTCATTTAAATTCTTCCATAAATAAAAAAGTTGGCACTGCGCATGCGCAAAAACAAATTTTGAAACTGGCATTTGATTTTCCTTTATTCCAAGCGCCTATGTATCAAATTTCATTTAAATTCTTCCATAAATAAAAAAGTTGGCACTGCGCATGCGCAAAACCAAATTTTGAAATTGACGTTTGATTTTCCTTTATCCCAAGTGCCTATGTATCAAATTTCGGTTAAATTCTTCCATAAATAAAAAAGTTGGCACTGCGCATGCGCAAAACCAAATTTTGAAATTGGCGTTTGATTTTCCTTTATCCCAAGTGCCTATGTATCAAATTTTGTTTAAATTCTTCCATAAATAAAAAAGTTGGCACTGCGCATGCGCAAAACCAAATTTTGAAATTGGCGTTTGATTTTCCTTTATCCCAAGTGCCTATGTAACAAATTTCGTTTAAATTCTTCCATAAATAAAAAAGTTGGCACTGCGCATGCGCAAAACCAAATTTTGAAATTGGCGTTTGATTTGCCTTTATTCCAAGTGCCTATGTATCAAATTTCATTCAAATACTTTTATAAGAAAAAAAGTTTGCAATTCGGTTTATAATTGGTCGAGATGCGAAAAGGGCACTGTCAATTTTGAATCGATTCGACTCAACTTTTGGCATTGCGTATTATATGGCTAAGGCTATGCCCATATTGAATTTCATGCAATTCAGTTCATTGTCTAACGGAGATGTAAAAGCGATCGGACATTTCTAAACAAAATTATCGTTCACACGGACAGATAGAGGGACAGACAGACCAACAGACAGACGACAGACAACAATACAAAAGTATAATAATGATCTCTAGGATGGTTAATAAACGGCAAAAGTGTATTATTATGGAACATGTAAAAAACGGTTTGTTGGTTTTTTTACAATAACTTTTTTAGCAATAAACGCAGAAAAAATTCCTTCCTTGGTGCAAGCCTCGACACCATAACGAACCAAATAGCGAAAAAAGTAGAACAATAGCTCTTAAGATAAAGAACTAGTAGCGTCGCAAAACGAGCGGACGGACGGACGGACAGCCGGACGGACAAAGTGGCCACAATAGCGCATCTTTTTTATTTTTGTGGAAATGCGCTAAAAAGAAAAGAGAGTGTACAGTTATTGATGAAATGTCATTGAAAGAATCAGTGTCATCACTCACCATCCGATATGGTTGAAGGATTTGTTGATTTAAGGTGATTTGGTGAGATTGCACATAATGCGCATAAAACCAATAGCCCCTGCATTAATCTAAAATGCAATCAAGCATTAACCATGGTAGTTAGAGTTAGAGGTATTTATAGAAATTACAAACAACCGAAGTACCTACTAATAAGTTATTATTTATCAAAAGAAGCGATAAGTGGCACAATGTCTTAAATTTTTTTAAACAATTGCATTATGCAAGATTACTGCTTCCAAATGCAGAGTAGCAACTAATTTATGTGGAGAAGTCGACCAGTATTTTCAAACTAATTTTGAACACCTATTAATGGAGAGAAATATTGAAGTGAGAAGTAAACTCCAACGTTATTGCAAGTGAAGTTGAGGCAGGTGACGTGTGTACATATTGTGAAAACTTGGTAATTAATAAATATATTAATGTTTTAATTACATTTTCAAATATTAAATATACTTTTGTATCATTCCACACCGGGCTATAGATAGCGCTCTTTCGCCCTGTGAGACAACACCACGAGCTAAAATCTAATACTATTTTTTCCCTTGCATAAATATCCAATTATTCTGATATTTTCGTTGTTCCGAATATGTTTCACTGCATTTGATTCGATGACCTGATTTTATCGTACGATTTCATCATGCCTTTACATTTCCGTCCGTTTCTCTGTCGTTCCGCGCTATATCAAGCTTATATGTTCTAGGTGTGCAATTATCAAAAATAGATATAGAATTGCCTTACTAACATTTTTAAATAGCGTGTAGGTGTACGGTATTAAAATAACAATTTTAAAAATCCGATGCAGATATCCTGATGATATCCAGTTATAGTGAATAATCATCTAAACAAGTGTCACATGTTAAATTAAAGAAACTCGATACCATCTTTGTAGTGCGCACCCCGTCATCGCCCCTATCGAGGACTCTGTTGGCTTTGAATAAGACGCGCCGTGAGAGAGACATCGATATATTTCACGGCACTTTGAATGAATGAATTAATCAGATTAGATCATAATTTCTATGTAGTTGTAGGTAGCTTAAGTACAGCATCTTCACACATACATCATTACACCTTAAGGGGTTGATTCTGTTCCACCAGATCCGCATGGCTTGTAAAACGAACTTTTGAATCGGCATTCGTTTGCATGCGCAAAACCAATTTTTTGATTCGGCACTAGTTTTACTTTTATTCGAGGTGCCTACATACAAAATTTCATGCAATTCGGTTCACAACTAATTTTTTATTATACCTGAATCACAATCTCCGTTTTAAACACTCAAATGCGTGCGAAAAAGGGCCTTTAAAACACACGTGCTTTAAAGTTGCTAAGTTGCTAAGTAACGATACTTCAAGTATGACTTTTGAAACTGTCATCTGGATGAAATAAAAAAATCCTCTTAGGTCGCTTTCTGTAAATGCAGAACATCTCTTTGGCTTTTGTACCTATCCTTTGGTTGAAGCTTTCACAAACGCGCGTAATTTAGGGTATGCTTCCAAATCTGTTCCACTTTTTAATCGCAGCATTGCTTTAAAGTTTTGAATGAATGCACAAAAATATAGAAGATTTAAATACCTTTGACATTTCCTTCATATATGCCAGCATTATGGATGCATTTAAGACTGTATTCGTAACTTCCTATTCATCCATGGAGACAATTTTTCATATTCTTTATAATAGGCTTTACTGGAGTTGGATTTTACACCTATCAACGTTTGTTTAGAATTTACAACAATCGATTTAATGGACGGTGTATTATCTTTTTCAACGGAAATCGTTTAATTCACAAAGACGGATTTTTATAAGCAAACGTCAAGTGACATTTCCATGGCAATCGTGAAATTACGAACACC